CTGTCTGAGGAAATTTGGGGGCTTGTACCAAAAATTGACTGTTACTAACAACGAGAATCTCAACTTGAAGCGATCTGTCTGGTTGTATATCAAATTTGGCGTTCATATTTCAATGTGCCCGAGAACCTGATTAGCGACGTACTTCGTCATCCGGGAAACCACACGTGGAACGTACATGCCTCTTGAATTTCTCGGCGGTCACAGTAATAAGCGGTGTGCATTTCATATTCGCGCATTGGCCATCCGCTGTGATGAGCGACCTTCTGGACGGCATGCTCCAGAGTACCTGAGTGAGGCACGCGCCTATTCAAACGCCCGTTGGCAATCTCCAGATGGATGTTGGTCACATTCTCAAAATGCACCAACACGTTGTGCATGAATGGCCCACTTTCTAGTGATGTGGAGCCAGTGGGCAGTCAAATAAGAGACAAAACTGGGATCTGCTCTCCTCAGGATTCGCAAATCGTGGTGAATCTACGCGATTAATGTTTGGTGCATAGTCACTTACTCGGCTGCATTGTCAGAGCGCGCCATGTGGTGAAATATGTGCCGACTGCGGTTGAAAATTGTCTGAAAAAGTTACACCAAAGCGATGAAACGTACGTGCTTCCGGATGACTTGCCGTGCGTGAAAATAGCACAGCATTATATCGCAGCCGAATACAGCTTTGACAGCCCTCATCTGCGAAGCCATCTTGTCCATGACGAACGTTTTGATTTCATAGTGTCCACACACCATACCCTTGAACAAGCTGAACAGCTTGCGCAATGGTGCAAAATCCTCGCATTCGACAAAGGCATACATTACGGGTCGACCGATACCCATGCCATCCGTCACAAGGAAAGTATAAGGCTTTTACCTTAACAGCGAACGTCAGGGGCTCTAAATTTATTTACCCAAGACGGTTAGTACCGAGTGTAGCATCAACGTTTACAACGTCCGGGAAACGTCTAAAGAGTGCTATCTGCTGCGTTCGAGAAAAGCGCAGGTGGCTGCATCTGCCATCCTCCGATTCCACCAGCAGCACGCGACCGCACTCTCGAAACTTGGCTATGATGGATGACATGTCATCTAAGAAACTGACTAAAAGGTAGCCAATGACCTACTTAACAATGAAGGTTGATATTTGACGCGATAGTTACTCACATTCTTGATAGAACGTACCTTTCCAAATTGGTCGGCGACGTACCGCCGAATCTCCAAGGACGGAGCACCATATTTCAAAAGGGCACAACACTCCTTTAATTCATCATTTGTCAGTCGCCGGTTGATGGGGAGCCCGTCAGAAATAAGTTTGCTGCGTGGATGGTTGTGCTCCAGGTGGTAGGAAGTAACACTCAAGCAGTCATGGTACCGGCAAACATGGTACCTTGCCGGACAATCAGTACGACGTGTGCTATCGCGTACAAACAACCAACCATGAACTTACCAGGTTCGACGAATTCCACGGCTTTGGCTTCGTCTGCAGGGATGACTGTTGCAACGGTAGAAGGCTTCTTCATACAAAAGTAGCGAATTGCTGCTATTTTTGGAGTTTATGCGGACGAAAACAACGGAGTTTTTCGCCTGGTACACTTTCAAAGCGACTTGAAATGTACTGAATAAGAAGAAACTTTGACGAGCTAAATGATCCACAAAATCATCCTCCGCATTCATTTGCCCAGCCATAGTAGCCACTAAAATATGAATATCGCGGTCCTTGAATATCATGGGGATTGAGTAGGTTTAAACAACTTTCAGCAAAACTGCGGCCGTTCGGGAAGATCTCATACGCCCGAAAAATCACCATCAAATGTTAAAACTTTATGTTAAAGTTTTCCTCCTTCGAACCACGGTTTCAGAGAAATTTTGGGTGTGCATCTAGCCGCCGGTTACCTTACCCTTAACTTTTCACAACAGTTATCATCTCACCTGATTGTTCTGGCAAATTTCGCTCCCGGTCAGGTGAATAACATGTGAAATCTTCGTCCTCCGATCTTCAGGATTGTGATCGCTTCAGGTAGTTTTCCAGCTAATCACAACTATTTATTGAGAAATGAAAAGACCCATGAGATTGCATCAGATGTTGATTGAATTTTCCATAAGGAAACCTTTGGAGCAAATTGAAAAATATGGGGTAAGAAGCAATCACCTGAAGTTTATCGGTTGACCGTTTTTCACCACGGTTGAGGTATAATCCACCAGCCATCCTATATATTTGCTTTATATTCCTTCCTTGCATTTCCCCCATAGCACAAAAAAATATTGTTGGATGAGCTGGAAAAAACGCCAAAATGAGGAAATGTGAGAGCAACAGAAAGAGAAAAAGGTAAAAGTAAAAAGAACTGGACGAAAAACTTAAATGTTCAATGGCAAAGGAACACCTAAAATGAGCGAAATAAAACATCGATTCATTCGCAGCGGCTATCTGCAACAGCCGCATCATGATTTTATTATCTTTAAATCCGATTTACAAACCAAACAGACTTCAAATCGGGTCCGACATCTTTTCGGACGCTCATTATGCTTAAGGCGGAAGCCTCAATCAATACGATAAGAACCCTTAAAACTCTTCTGACCTCTAGAAAATTGATGAGAGAAAGCACGGTGCGTTTTTACGCGGATCAGAAATTTTATGCAATAATATGGTAAACACAACCGCTAACGATAAGTCACCCAGTACACGAAACACAGTGTTGGTTCGATTGGAGGCACGCTGGCGTCACGAAATTCGGATCGTCTCCACGCAATACAGTCACTACGATTCTCGTGTCTCAGTCAAAGGCAGGCTATTTCAACGTGCCCACGATCAGCGGCACATTTAGTAACTTCAAACGGCGGCAAATACACATCCTCACCTTTATTTGCGATGACGCCATGAACTTATATAAGAAGCCGTTTGGTTCGGATTATAACACTAATTCTGCTGAGGCTATTTCACCGCCTATGAGTCCATGCCCGCTTATGGCGCATGAACATTTTTCGCAAATGCCAACGCTGTCTCAAAGATTACTGCTTTACGACTGCGAACTAGCCGTATGTATGCGCAGATTGGTGATCCAGTCCCGTGGAAGGTGATTCAGGTTTAACCAGGTTGCCTTCAGTAGTTATTCATTTTCCATGAGTTTCCCAAAGCTTCACTACGCTTTGTACGCGCGACATATATTCTGATCAACTCGGTAATTTGTAAGTAAAAGGACAACGAGGGCGTGACAGGCTGTGGGCAACGGCCAACGCTTTATTCTTAAATGCTGAAAAATGTATTCTGTGGCGCCAAGCTCATCCCACCACAGTGTTTAATTACTACCTACGACACCATTGGGCGTTTTTCGGGTTCACATTTCTCCCGAAGTGTTCCTGTCATACAGCTGTTGAGAAGTCTGCTTCGGACAATGTACGACGTGTTGGGCGACCTAATACCGAGCCAAAAACGCATCAGGAGGACAACGTCCCCTATCCAAGTTTCCAGTCAGGTGCTGTCCGTTGCTAGGGGAATGAATGAAATTCGAGGTATTTGTCGGAGTGCCGTGTCATAATGTTTTAGCAATGCTCGCGGAGCACAAAAATGAGAGTAAGAAGCTAATTTGATAAAATGGAAGGGCCCCTACTTGGTTATGTTCATTGCAGTCCACAGCTTTACTCCCAAGCTGGGGCGTGCAATTGTCAGACTTGCTTGATTTGGGTGCACGGACAGAATGGACACTAGGCTTTTAGGAGTCCCAGAAGAATTCTACGGCGTCACTTTGTTGATAATCCACACCGTAATCTTCAGCTCAAATTCAAGTTATCCGAAGAATGATAAACGAAGGCTTCGTATACCTTTAGTTTACAGCATTCAATTTCCGCCGTAGAATTGTCAATATTTTGTGGCATGATTAATGTTTTTCCGAACGTGCTTGTAATTCGACTTGTTGTTTTTCGAGTGAACATGTCTGAGCATAACACTCATAATATACCATCCTTAGGCTTTCTCAGGATTTCAAGTAACATTGATTTCCGCAAAGAAATCGTAGCTTATCCAAATAAGGCAAAATCTCATCTGTGGACAGGGTAGTGGTTCTTGGGACTTATCCTGCCGATCCACACCAAACCTAAGATGGGGGATTCCGATGGGATGATGGATATTTGTCTACACCCTGTTAAGACGGGCGCGGTTGAATCCCGTCTTCAAACCTACGAAAACTCGTTGCTGATATTTACCGGTTCTGCAAGATACAGCTTTCTTGTTTCATTATGATTAATTTTCCAATAATTCATAGCTGAACATCCCTGACAGGACTTTGCCCATGGACCATAATTTCATATGGGATGCCTAACAATAGGCAATTAGGGAGCTCATGCTGGGGCGAATCATTAGTCAAGCATGGCGTAGACATCCTAGGTGATGTCATTTACAGCTGTCAGAGATTTTTCACTCGAACCACTTGTTCTGATCAAAGTCACTGGATGAAGGCGTATAAGATGGCCTAGGGCATTACAGCAGCCTAACGAGATGGAAAGTTGGAATCAGCTGGAGGACATCCCCTCAGGCCAGAAATATTCTGTCAACAGAGTTGGAAGCTCATGTAAAATTGAAAAAACCGCAAATTCTGGGTTTCGTTAAACATAAATCTGACTGAAGGCCGGAGGCTACGCCCACCTGGTGAGCACCAAGACGGTCAAGACAGGTCCTGAAAATAATCTTAGAATGTCCGAAAACTACGAAGACCTCTAAACACCACCAAGACACCGATACAGAGGCCAGAAATTATCCAGACCAGTCAATTACTCGGCCAACTTAGAAAAATCCTGAAGAGATTGAAATGTAATTAATAAAGCGAAAAGGCCCAATATTTGTTGGATTTACGTGCTAGTAACAAGGCCATTGTTCATTGTTGGCATGCTTTCTTCTGACATCGATACTCTGGAGCCGAAAATAGCATTTTGATACAACAGTATGCAATATCTAGGTATGTACGTGCAAGAAAGTGGACGGTAGTTGGATTGCAACAGCACTGAACTGGGCGGTTCGTTTTAATGTGCTGTCACCCTCGCTTGCCGCTGCGGATGAACGGCCTGGCTTACCTTGTTTGATGGACTCGTTTGACGCTTACGGGCCTAACTCGCAGGCCTTAACGTTTTTTGATCCAGAAGAGAATGACTTAATCGGTGGTGATACACAGGGACCAGACTTTGATTGTGCTGATTTCACATTACCGTCTCAATCACAAACGCAAGCTTCCCAACTAGACCAGGAGCGGGGTGGCTTTGCTCAAAAGGTGAGCTCTTCTTGTTTTCTTCTCATCCGTTTCGAAGAACGATATCAATAATCGCATAAATTCGTTAAGTCAGCAAATATTAGACTTGACAACCAAGGATGATGATCAGGATGAGGCTAATTCGCAGCTGCCGGAACACGCATGCGCATACTGTGGTATTCATGATCCGGCCTGCGTTGTCTACTGCAATACCACTAAAAAGTGGTTCTGCAACGGCCGAGGCAACACCTCTGGGAGGTAGGTCTGGCAATTTCCGTGGAATTTGCTTTCAGTCACATCGTCAACCACCTTGTTCGTGCTCGAGCCAAGGAAGTAACGCTGCATAAAGATGGACCACTGAAAGACACCTTATTGGAATGCTACGTCTGTGGTTCAAAGAATGTTTTTCTTCTTGGGTTCGTCCCAGCAAAGTCAGAATCGGTTGTTGTGTTGCTGTGTCGCAATGTGTGCGCGAACCAAAATAAGGATATGTACTGGGACCCAGCTCTTTGGCAGCCGATTATACAAAACAGGCAGTTTTTGTCCTGGTTGGTGAAGGTCCCTTCTGAAGAGGCCCAAGCCAAAGCTCGCCAGATATCTGCACAGCAGATCAACCGCCTGGAGGAAATGTGGAAAGAAAACCCACAAGCAGCTGTCGAGGACCTAGAAAAGCCCGGAGCTGATAGGGAGGTCAGTCCCGTACTCCTGAGGTAACGAGACCTATTCATGTATCTTATTTTCATTAAGATATAAGAGTTCTTTGCAGTATCAAATGACGTTCAAACCACTCGTCGAAATCGAGGCGGCTTATGACCAAAAAGTGAAAGAATCATTGAAGTTGGAGAACGTTGTTGTCCGTTGGGAAACGGCACTGAATCGCAAGCATGTTGCTTATTTTCGAATTCCTGGTGCGAATGAAGGTGAGTTGACTTTAGTTTTGTTATGTCAGTTCTGGTTTGCTCTTGCGCTCGTCTTTCGATTGCCTTATTGTGCATGCTTAAGTCAAACACTAGTGTTATCGGAAAGAGAGGACCTCCATATGGTGGCCGGAATTGCCGCACGCTGTATTCATACTGAGTTTTTGTCATGCATCTTAGAAATACTGTATGTGGGATCATGTACAAATTAGGCCTTTCAGTCGTACAGAATATTGTGAAAGCCGAACGTATGGTGGGAAGTGGCTGTCTCAGCGTCACTGGTTTTAATCCCAGTATTACCATAGCTCGTGTGGATAGGTGCCTGAATCCATAACGGGACAGTTAGAAGCCGATTTTTGGTTGTGAGACGTTTAGAATGAGTCCGAGAACGAGTTAGAACAGAGTCCAGGTTTTCGAGGATAAACAACGTTTTACTTGTCTAAGAACAAGCGTACATGAGCTGAAATGTACATACAAAGGTTCCGTACGAGTATATGTGGTAAGTATAAGAATAAGCACACAAAAATCATGACATTCACCCCGACAGTGTTTGAATAGGCACATATGAGCTGACGTAGACAGGAAGTGATGTACTGAATCAAGCTTCTCTGTTCCTCAAACTGTAAGGATGAATGCGTCGCTGTTGTTCTAGAATCAAAGGATAACTCGGTTGGTGTTCGGAAGACGGTACAGAAGAAGATTCCGATGCTTGAGAGCTATCGGGCTGGCGTCCGGTTAGTTCAGTCGTATCTGGGTGTTCGGTATCCTCGTTGGATTCAGACAGATTGAGAACATTGTCAGTTGTACTCTGAACAGCTGGGGCTAGACGGCGAAGGGACACGGTTTCGACTCTTCCGTCTCGATGAGCAATGTGTGCGTAGTGTGGGTTGCAGTTCAGAAGGTCAACTTCTTCTACTAGTGGTTGGTACTTGGATGACCTATCACCTCGTTGCAGCAGAACTGGACCAGGGGTGGTCAACCAAGATGGCAACGATATTCCAAATGTTGATCGACGTGCGTATTGGAACAAACGTTCGTGTGGAGTACAATTAGTGACTGTACATAACAATGATCGGAGGCTGTGTAGAGCATCAGGGAGTACTGATTCCCAACGGGAAGGCGGGAGATTGTGAGATTTCAGCGCTAAGCTTATTGTTTTCCAGAGAGTACCGTTGAGACGCTCAACTTGACCGTTACACTGTGGATTATAAGCTGATGTATGACTCATAGCAACACCTTTCTCCAGAAGAAAGCTATTGATCTCAGACGACATGAACGATGAGCCTCTGTCGGAATGGATATAGGCTGGCATTCCGAACAGACAGAAGATTTGTGTGAGACAGTCAATCACAGTTGCCGAGGTCATATCCGCACACGCAAATGCAAATGGGAATCTAGAGAACTCGTCAATTATAGTGAGTAAGTAGCGGTTGCGTGTATTAGATGGCAAAGGACCTTTAAAATCCAAACTCAGACGTTCAAAAGGTTGTGTTGCTTTAATGAGTCTACCAGAGGATTTCCAAAATCTTGGCTTCAGTTCAGCACACACTTTGCAGGAGGAAATGACGCGCTTGACATCGTCGACGGAGTAGGGGAGATTCTTGCAACGCACAAAATGAAACATACGGGTAATGCCTGGATGGCAGAGGGAGTTATGGAGCTCTCCGAGTTGGTTATTGCTCCCCATGGAAGCACATACGTTTCGTGACAGAGTGTCGGCGACATGATTGTCCTTGCCAGGTCGGTATATGACATCATATTTGTACTCGGACAGCTCAATCCTCCATCGTTGTATCTTGTCGTTTTTCACTTTACCCTTCTGTCCACCGCCGTACATGAATGAGACTGAACGCTGATCGGTGATCAGTTTGAAGGGTCTTCCGAGTAGATAATGCCGCCATTTCCGGATGGATTCAACGATAGCGTAGGCCTCCTTCTCGATGGCAGAATGATTCTTCTCGCTCGGATTGAGTGTCCTCGAGAAAAAGGCTACCGGCCGACGGTTTTGGCTTAGGGACGCGGCTATAGCCACATCGGAGGCATCCGTTTCAACAACCAGAGGCTCGTTATAATCTATTGTGATTAGTGTAGCATTTTCTAGTTCGTTCTTTAGGTTGTCGAAGGTCAACTCGACGTCGGCAGGTAGGGGAAAAGTTTTATTCTTTACCAGTTTGTTGATTTTGTCGGAAAATGAGGATATCCAATGAGCATAATATGCAAACATACCGATGATACGTTGCATTTCCGTGGTAGTACGCGGAAGAGGTAACTGACGGATGGGTTCCATGCGTTCAGGGTCTGGTCTAATGACACCCTTTGAAACCTCATAACCTAGGAGGCGGATAACTTTTGAAGAAGTGACTGTTTTGTCATCATTAAGAGTGATCCCATACTTCCTCGTAGCTCTCAAAAACGACTGGAGATTGAGATCGTGTTCCTCTTGGGTCTTGCCACAAATAGTCACATTGTCTATGTAGGCATACGTGCTTTTCAGCTTTTCAGTCGTAATGATATTGTTAATAGTTCGCTGAAAACACGCAACACCGTTTGTGACACCGAAGGGTATGCGACGAAACTGAAACAGGCCACCACATGCTTCGAATGCTGTAAAAGGTTTGTCGGATGCCGCGATGGGGACTTGATGGTAAGCAGACAAGAGGTCTAATGTACTATAGACTTCGTAGTGCGAAATCTCCTCAATCATTTTGTCCAAGCGTGGCAGAGGGTAAGCGTCCAGATATGTGAACCGGTTGATAGTTTGGCTGTAGTCAACAACCATCCGGCGTTTCTGATTGATACTCTTGGTAAGCAAAACCTGCGCTCTCCAGGGAGACGTTGACGGTTCGATGATGCCTTCTTGCAATAAGCGGTTAACTTCGGCGCGAATGAATTTGTCATCATCCGGGTGATGCCTTGATTTGGTTGCAACAGCCTTGCAATCTGGAGACAAGTTGGCGAAAAGTGATGGTGATTCAACGTTTACAGCCGTCAGGCCGCAGATGGTGAGCGCATCACGATCTCCGCCGAATGGAATTTCTACCTTGCCATGTAGACCTAGAAAGTCATGCCCGAGTAAAACGTCGGTGCAGAGGTTTGGCATTACAAAGAGCTTCAGTTCATTGCGTGAGGTATCTCTGTATCGGACAGAAACACAAGCGTACCCAGTCGTCCGACAGGATAGGGATGTAGACGCCATTGTGACGACTGAGAAAGTTGGATAAATCTTCCAATTATGCAGTTTCACGACCTTAGCGTTAATGAAACTGCAAGAACTCCCTGTGTCGACCAGTGCACGGAGAGTGATGCCGTTGACTTCGATAGTTGCGATGGCATGTGCCAGGCGGGTAGGAGCTACTGCAACGAATAATGACGATAAAGTAGGCTTTGTTGTACAACTTGTGTGGAACTTGGAGGTATTTTTTGAACGGCACACGCGGCGGAAGTGACCGCGCTTACCACAACGATTACAGAGGGCTTCTCGAGCGGGGCACTTTGGACGAGGATGCGCATCATAACCGCAGAAATAACATGTCTGAATGGATTTTACAGCAGCAGTGGTCGGATGAAGACGCAATGCGGGATTCTGTGAAATGGGTGGAATCGTAGAGCAAGATATGGGTTCGTTACTAACATATGACTGTGACCATTTGTAAGCAAATTCGAGGGATCTAGCCAGCTGATATGTTTGGTCCAGAGTGAGTTCGCTTTGTGCTAGAAGCTTCTCGCGGATGGATGTGGACGCCAGGCCATTAATTATAGCATCACGCACGCACTCATCTTGATATTCAGTTGCAGACACAGATTTAAACTCACAGTCTTTGGCTAATGATTTCAGTTTTTGTACGAACTGATCGATATCTTGTCCACTCTCCTGTAATTTCCGTAACGTGTCGATTGCAGATTCATAGTTGGTGCGATCAGCACTGTGATCGTATACTAACGGATCCACAAAGTAGATGTGAGTTTCAAGTTTGTCGGGTTTAGAAGATTCGACAGCTTTCAGATAGGTTTCGAATGTACGAAACCAGTGATTCCAGCGTTTTGCTGCATCTGCTGAGTTTGGGTCGGCGTCGCAGAACCGAGGTCGTAGTTGCGGGTCCATTGTGTTCTTATAAAGTAAATTGAGACGTTTAGAAAGTGTCCGAGAACGAGTTAGAACAGAGTCCAGGTTTTCGAGGATAAGCAACGTTTTACTTGTCTAAGAACAAGCGTACATGAGCTGAAATGTACATACAAAGGTTCCGTACGAGTATATGTGGTAAGTATAAGAATAAGCACACAAAAATCATGACAGGTTGCGCAATCGGGACTTTATTGAAGATTGTTACTAGCACCAGAGGATGCGCCGGCTATACCATGTACTGCCCATTTCAATGGTTAGAGTGCTGATTTACTGATGGGAAGGTCCGTGGTTTGAATCCGACCTCTGCCTCTCGGCTTCTCCTGTCTAGGCTCAGGCGACCTGGCAGTATCCGAGCCCTCGTGCCTCCTGGTGGCATGCTAGTTTGGACCCGAAATGGTGCTACAGCTGAACCATTCCAAACCATCATTTTCCGAAAGGAGTGCTGCATTCTGAATGGCGGAAGCGAAGGTGTGGCCAACCCATGACCTGACAGAGTGGAATAAATGAAACTAAGAAATGTTTGGGTGTTGTCGGTGCAACTCGACTTTGAGAGTGGGGGCCGTGTGATCCCCGTTGCCACTGGTTGGAGACGCTGCAAGATATGTCTGCTAATCGGTGACTGGCGTTCTTGTTGTCAGTTCCTATCCAGGTTGCCTGAATGAGTGTCCGGAGGACTAGGCAATCCGGAACGATTGTAGTGAGCTAGCACTGATGTCTCTTCCCTGTCAACTTTTGTTCTTTTCACAGTAAGGCTTTCAAATAAATTGTGTTCGTACGGCAGTGTTGTCATACTGTCCATGATGATGGCCTTTGGACACCCGTTGATAGTAGCCTCTGCTATGTTCGTTCAGAAACATCTGTGAGAAAATCTCGAGAAAATTCGGCTAATCGCAATCTGTGTATTGTATGTGTCTAAGCCCAAACGGACTAGTTTTGAATCTACCAAAGACGGTTTCCATGACGCTCTAGGTTCTCTTTCAAGTCGGGTTAAAAGCTCAGACGTCGTCATGGCTGGGGGTGATATGAACGGCCACTAATACCCAGAACGCTACTCAAAGCCGGAACTTCCGTAGGTGGTACTCCAAGCTCATCCAAATGTTCTCTCTGATAGGACAGTAGCTTTACTGGAGGCCCGGTGACAGATTCTTCTCGGCCGTAACCACAACACCCGACGTATCATCGGACGCCAGGTGAAACCTAGTGTTCATGCGGACTGGGGGGCTTGGTTGACCCGAAATACGGAAGAAAAGGAAAATACTAAAAATTCTGGGAATGTCCGCAGGTGCTTATGCATTTACATATCTAGGTAGTTGAATGAAGTCTGATGGAATTGTGTTTGACGAGGTCAGTGCGCGAATCTCAAATTCCGAGATCATGTTCGCTAATTTACGTCACTTGTGGCGTCAAAAAGGCATATCACTTGGTCTCAAGGATCGCGTGTACCAGGCTACAGTAAGGAATTTATCGGTGTTTGGTTGCGAAACATGGTCTCTGTGGACAAACTATGTGAGGCATCTTCAGGTTTTTGATCACCGATGTTTCGGAAGTGTGACGGTTGTGGTGCACGTAATTTGTCGGTGTTTGGTTGCGAAACATGGTCTCTGTGGACAAACTATGTGAGGCATCTTCAGGTTTTTGATCACCGATGTTTCGGAAGTGTGACGGTTGTGGTGCACGTACTTCAGTCGCGGTTAACATCGAGCTCCATCAATTGCGTTAGTTGCACTGTCCGCAAACCTGCAAGATGCTGACCACTCCGCTTGTGGAAGGATGCAACCAACTAGACATAAGTAGCACTAAAACTGCTCGAACCTGGGTAGGGATTTCCCGTGTTTGAGTGGAATACAACTCAAGGTATATGAAAATGGAACCCCAAGATCCCGCTCTTAAATACACCGCATTGAACGGATCTTCACAGTTCATCGTCGGCTTGCATATAGACGTCCTGGTGTTCCATGGTTTCAACAGTGCGCTCGATTCTGTCAGCTGGCTCGTGCTTTTCAGCATGCATAACAAGACATCCCTCAGAAGTGAATAACATGATCTGTTTGTGGAGTGCGTGCGAGTGCGGGGAGTTCTCCAAAAACCTTCCTATGAGCACTGATCGACAAATGTGCCCACTCTTTTCATTTTTACCTACTTTCATCGTCGCTGAACTAATTTGATGAACACTGAAAGGTAGTGTGGCAGACAATGTTAACGCATGCATCTCAAAGGCCCGAATTGCGTCCAACAGTTTGCATGCATTGTAGCATCAAAAAAGGATACCAGGAGTCTCAAGGACCGCGTGTCTTAGACTACACTGCAGGCCATATTGTTGTACAGCTGCGAGACCCGACTGCTCCGGGCGGAGGATTTGAGGAGCCCTAGGTATTTGACCAGTTCCACAGAACGATAGCTGGAATCGTCTGGAACCAGCGAATTCGCAGTGTGATCATGAAAGGGGTAGACGGTACTACATTCAAGGAATGCATCCGACACTGCAAGCTAAGCTGTGTGGGTCATGTAATGCGCATTCCGAGTTGTCGCCTATCTAGAATAGCTGTTTTTTGTGCGCACTTCGGAGTTTCGGATAAGTTTTAACATGTCAGGATATAATTCCGTTGCATTTGTGCTCCGGCAACTGGGTGACTAACTGAGACTAGTCCCATTTATGAACGCACTCTTTCTGTCGGTTTTGGCGTTGCTGAGGTTAGTGCCACTGTCACTAAAGCTTTACTGGGCTGCCCAGTGGAGTGACAAACATCGAGAACGCACAGAAACGAGTTCATCTATAGGCTATCCGAGTATGAACCGCACAAATTGAGTATGAACCGCACAAATGGTTATAGACGCAAATGCACAACCACATCCTTTCTGGGTGTCACGTTCTTATCTGACTAAAAGTGGACCGAAGTAGTCCACTTCGGTGAATGCGATTCGTTCGTTCACGTGGAAAAAGTCATCATTTGGTTGTACGCTACCGGAAGCCATCGACAGCATCGGACAGCGACTCACCCTCGTACAACCCGGTGTCCATTGCTCACAGCTACTAGCTACCCACGCGCCACAGCTTTCGTGGTAATGTTTTATGACGTGGTGATGAACTGTCTCTTTAGCGGCACGATATGGTGGTTAGTCTCAATAGTCAAACGGTCAGTCAGAGGTGACTAACGCGAAGTTCCCCATGATCATCGAAAGGATTCCGTTTGCGAAGTGAACTGCCAAAAAGAGTCGTTTGTCACCGGTGGGTTTCTTGCTAAGTGTGCGCAGCTCGTCTGGAAACGCATTCTCCCTAACTGACTTCACGGCACATTGACGTTCCCATTAGCTCTTGCCAAGCCAAGGTCAGTCACGGGCTTGGTTCGTTTCCTGATTAGGGTGGGAAGTCGTTCGAGCCACGCACTAGCCCGCAAGAGCTTAGTCCGATTGATTGAATTTACCCCCTCTAAGACGTGATTGTCTACGTAGGCGACCGTGCAATTCTGGTTTTCATTATTTCTGAGAGGCGTAGCCTGTAAATTTGGTTTTGCTGTCTATAATGACTCTTCATCCCATAAGGTGGTCGGATCCGGGATCCATTAGCTGTGTCCTACGTCTTCTGGAAGCATCTGATGCGATGTCTGCCGGATTATTCCTCTCAACCGCTGATGCACATCTATGAGTACCCGCACAACTTTCTTGCGGTTTGCGGCGAAGCTTTGGAAGCGCGTGATCATGTTGCGGAGTTTCTGAAGGTCAACCACCAAATCCGTCCAAAAAGGACTGATGTGCTTGGCAAGGACAACTCTTTTGGTTTACAGGACAATTCTTGCAAACAGTAGGGCAGCCGTAGGCTTCAAACAAGAAGTCGTGGCGGCATCGAGTGGAAAATACGAGATTTACCCCATATAAAGTAACATTGTGCTTCTCTTTCTACGATCGAAAATAAACAACCGCTCTAGGCTTTATCCAATGCATCTGAGAAACAGTGAAACTCGTAAGATTGGGAAATGGAGTCCTTGAAGGACAGATGTCACTCCACTTAGCTTGAGGTGTATTCAGGTATGGGTGCACCTCAACGAACAAGCCACCCTCTGTAGCGGTCTTCGCTTAGTCGACCGAATTTCTACTCGCAGATGCCCGTAAAAGGAAGAAGGCCTTCGCCGTGGGGTCATTAGAAAATACCAACTGACCAGTTACAGATTATTGGATAGGGAAGCATCTTAATTACAAAAACTGAACATCCATCTCCTGAACGCGTCTTCCTGAACTTTCCTGGATATTCATTGACTGTTGCTCAAATCCAAGTAAATGCTACAAAGCGAATCCACAACTTCCGCAATAGACCTCCCTTTTCAAGAGGCGCAAAGCGAATTTACAAGAAAACCTACTACGCGCATGCCTCTCTCATCAGTAGTATCACTGTTACACCCGAAGGTCGCAGTTCCTACCAGTGACGGGCAAGCATGGTTTTTCCGGAGCCCAGGATGATCTTTGATTGCCGTCTGCTAAAGGGTATATCGATCAAATTCGTTAGCATCCTGTGATGTATATAATTAGAATTCACCGTTCTTGGATACTGCTGGTATCCACCAAGAGTGCCCAATTTCTCCGTTTCTCGTCGATCTCCGTGGTGAAACGTTTGAACGAAATTGGACTCGTAACTGCCACAGTGTATCCCCTGGTAACGGGGAATCACACGGCGATGCACTGAAGCTGGTAGATTATCTTCAAGCACTCCAATTCTGTCTGGAATAAATCTTCACAGGAGCTAGCCATCAGTTACTCAAATACGAATTACTCGTACAGGCTTGTCATTCATTCCGACCACCACTGATCTTCATTGATGAACAACTGAAATCCGTGAAATGCTTATCTCAATCCTGAGACAAATATAACATACGGGAGACAGTGGATCTGGATCAGTACCCTTGTTGCCTATGTGTGAATACTAATCGCTTTGTGTGTTCTACTTGGAAGGACCGTCTTTGCTTTAGGTATTTCATGCGTTTCATAACAGGGGGTGAAGGCGTAGGATGTCTTGCGTGATAACCAGGAAACGGCGCTCTAGCACGCAGTTACGTCGTTGAAGTCACGTCTTAAGAATACCTCGTAAGTGACTACTAAGGCAGGCACATCCGTGATGCGTGGACTAAGTTGGGAAAAACTGTTTACAGATCAACTGAATACGTGGAGAGATAGCTAAAGATGATAGCTAGGTTCCCTCCATCGTGTCATTTCGATCTCACAACTGAGGCACAAGAGATAGTGACTGTCTTTGGATAGGGAATTTGAAACGAGACCGAACTCAGTGGCGTTCTTTTTCCCTTAATTGACCATTTACTCTCCAGATTCTGTCTTCCTTTTTTTACCATCAGGCATCATGTTTTGTTCACTTGTTAAATGTAATCGCCCTTTCTGACCGTGTTGCAATACATACTGGCTGGGAAATATGTGATGTTGCAATTTCCGAACAAGATGAACATGCCTCCAAGGCTTGGTTTAACGTGTCACACCCCCGTTTTCCGGTGATAAAAACTGCACAGAGTTCCTTACCAACATTTGCATAGTCTCTTCTTTAAGACATCTTGTTGGAGGGATTTTTTCTGAGCAATCAACTGCTTAGTCAGACACGTTTAAAGCTGAGTTCACAAACCTTGAGTTGTGGCAATTAACTCTCTAGCCCTTTTAGGAAGCGCTCGTCTTTGTTGTTTACGAAGACCGATACGTCTCAGTCCCATCAAACTTTTGATTAGTTTTGTACCTAATTCTGTTTACTTTGCTTTCATTGATCTACAGGTCCAGAACTACGTATAATGCATGGGGATGAGCTAATCATACGCCGCTTCAACACCCCAGATAGTAATTGGAGTGGAGTCGGCCATGTGATTAAAATTCCAGACAGTGAGTTATATTGTTCCCCTCGCTGTGCTGATCACAGCTTGTTCCTGCTGGTTGACTATGGTTTATTGTACCTATTCTGCCATCATTAGGTGCGGTTCGCTGTTTCGCAGGTTGTGAGGACAGTTTTGGTTCAGGTGTTCGGTAATGGCTGTCTGTGATCTTGCTAGTGGTTTTGGATTTCATCAAGGGCCGAAATTCTCACCATGGCTGTTTGTAGTTCATCTGCAACACTTGCTCCCCCTTTTACGTAACACACCCAATTACGGGCGCTCCATTCACCAATTTGCATTCCTATGTCGGTTTTTCCACTTCCAGATTTCAGTGATGAAGTTGGTTTAGAGATGAAGCAGGCCGATGTGGTTCCTAGTGATCCCGTGACATATATGGTTGAGTTCAAGTGGAAGTCCACCCCTTTTGACCGCATGATTCAAGCTATTTCCAAAGTAACTGAGGAGCAGTGCGACCTGTTGCCACCCTACATATTCTACCGTCTATTGGGTCACGAAATGGACGATATGGTGCTCAAATGCAACCTGCCGAAAAGATACTCCGCACCGGATTTGCCGGAACTTAATCACAGTCAAGTGTTCGCTGTGAAAACGGTGCTACAACGTCCACTTAGTTTGATTCAAGGTCCTCCTGGTACGGGGAAAACTGTCACATCCGCATCTATCGTGTATCACCTGAATAAAATTCACCAGAAGAAGGTGCTTGTTGTCGCTCCGAGCAATACGGCTGTTGATCAGCTATGCGAAAAGATTAGCCGTACCGGTCTAAAAGTTGTCCGGTTATGCGCTCGATCGAGGGAAGCGCTGGCTTCACCCGTCAGCCATTTGATGCTGCATGTCCAAGCTCAGCATGTGAAAGGACATTCCGAACTACGAAAGCTGCAACAACTAAAAGATGAAACGGGAGAGTTAAGTCAAGCAGATGAGAAAAGGTACCGCCTGTTGAAACGGGAGTTGGAACGTAAGTGTCGAGTTTTATACCCAACCGCCCCTTCATGCTCACGTAATGTCATCCGGAAAAACATATTGCTGTTCTCTCAGGTTGGTACAATACTTGATAATTTGGATAGTAGATGTGGATTTTAATTATAATAGATGTTTAGAAGCACGCATTGACTCACTAAGATTGAAGTGGTGATTGTCATTACTGCTGCCGTGTAAGGGGTAACAAACGATTGGTTGGTTGAACGGAGGACCCACGTCGATTAGTCTCTAACTCTGAAACTCAGATCTCGTTCACACATTAAGTGAAATACTGTTATATTTACAACCTACCATATACCCTCGGCTTATGCCGCTGGAGTGCGCTGTCACTCAACGATTCTGTTGTTATGCCTACTTCTCCCCGTTCATCTGCATGTTGCCGAATTTCCTTCCCATAGGTGAGCTTCTTGTTGCCGCAGACGTCGTATGCTGCACCTGTGTGACGGCCGGAGACCAGCGTCTGGAGCGACTTAGTTTTCACTCAGTGCTCATTGACGAATCGACCCAAGCCACTGAACCAGAATGTTTGATTCCATTAATGGTTGGTTGTCGTCAGGTCGTGCTTGTTGGGGATCACTGTCAACTTGGGCCGGTCATTACGTGCAAGAAGGCCGCGAATGCTGGTCTCACGCAAAGCCTGTTTGAAAGATTTGTGCTGCTTGGTATCCGGCCAATGAGACTACAGGTGAGTAGATATTCGTTTTCCCCTTCCCACTGCACCATTCTTTCTCTGCGGTGACGAGGACGGATCCGATGCTCAATTAGTTCATAAAATAAGCTGGTACTGATTTCGAATTATCTCTTTTTGCAGCTGATTTTAGCTTCGTGCTGTACAATTCCTTGTCTTCAGTCTGCCCACAATTCACTGTTCCTAACAATAGCGCCATCGTTTCACTCACCCTTATACAGCTGCCAATATAACCTACAAACAACATAGGGTCTTCATTTTAATGTGACTGCTTTTGCGATCCTGGCCCTCTGAATAAAGACAGAGAACACGAATTTCTCGCCATATCTTTATCTGTGTCGCTCGTCGGAAAGTCTTCCCGTCCTAGTGCACTTATGAGTGGTACACATCAAAGGTAGGAGCGCAGAACTAGAGTGTCGCCCTTAACAGAGGTCATCAGTGATGCGTGTCCTCGATCTGACCCGTGTTTAAAATGCCCGTCACTTGACACAAAAATATTTTACCGGTACCGTGCCAGGGCATGCTAAACCTACCTGTTTTATCGCACCTGAGGGGTCGAACATTCGTTTTAAGGTTACGTCAGAGTAACGCAACATCTCATTGGTAACGTTAATAACTACGAACAACAGCGATGTTTCTAGAGCATCCTGGTAATAGGGATGGAATGCTTCTTGACCATACGGTCCCGGACGCTGGATTCTTGGTTGCTTGAAGCTCATTGATAACTGTTGAGAAGACAGTTCACTGGATATCCTTCGTGAGTGGCTGCCGTCCGGAGGTCGTTAGTGTGAACTAGGAACTCTGTGACTCCCAGTGGGGTGTGAACTTCGCGCTCGGGGTTAGGTCAACTGAAAGCTTCGGAAGAATTCTCCAAAGGCAGACCCTTTCTGCGATTTGAACAAAGGGTATCATCTCCACACAAACCTGGGACCACCTTATTAATGCGATGTCTTACAATAACGCTCAGTGGTTAAGGTTCGAGCTAAGTGACTAGAAGGTCCGCCGTTTTAATCTACTTTTGGTATCTTGACTGCTCTTCTTCGGGCTTGAGCAGTCTGGCGATGTCTCAGTCGTCGCGCTTTTCCCGATTAGCATGGAAGCTAGGAATTTACAGTTTGTTACAGCGAACAATTTTTTTAACTACTTAGGCAAGAAGTTGGTAGTCCAAACATTGTTGGTGGACACTCATCTCACCGATCGTTTTCTCGGCATTTCTCGCTAGCCTCTTTTCCTTTCCACAAGACGAGTTTAGCAACATGAAGCCTTGTAGGCTGTCTATACATCTTTGAGTTTATTCAACTCATCTGTTGGGTACAATGGTGGAAACAAGGTACTTGAAATCAGTAACTTGCTGGTTTATTGCCTGTTTTGTTGAAAGGTTGTACAGGCGTGAACATGCAGGCGGGACTCTTCAACGTATTGATTTCCAATCCTGCTAGTGCTGCGTACTGAATTAGCCCTAGCATATGTTAGAGTTCTTCCAGGTCATCACCCATCATTCATTTTTACTTCATTCATCCATGACTTAATGCTGTCAGTTTCTATCGAGTTTCTATCTGACTGGTGCTGTAGGTATGGGCGCCTCGCATGTTTTTTGGTACAACAACCCGAGGTTCTCCTCTCTGTGTCATTTCCCCTTTGTTGTATAAGGCATTATTCAAATAAATTAACAAGGTTGTGTATTAGTAAGACACCAGTGTTCTGATCAGGCGTTGCTGTCAATGTTGATGGCACTTACTATATCATCAGCGTATTCCAAGTCAGCTATTCGGGTTCGGGGACCTAACCGTACCCCACTGTATCCCTACAACGAACGTTCTAGTGGTCAATCAATTGGGAATTCAGCCCCTGCGAAATTGGACGTCTTTGTCATACACCAGACCCAAAGTCGAGCTCACTGTCCCCTGGTTCGGCTGGTTTGCAGCGCGCGGTAGTGATTTGGAATCGTGCCTAGTGACGACCGCCTTTCTTCAGTCATTCAACCAACATATCAGCTACAAACCATATACCAAGTGTACGCTGGTTCCGGGAGCCACAGATTTGGCCACCGGAAAGTGGAAATGCATGGGGATCTAGCCAGGCTCAGGACTCGATGGCATGATCAGTTCGGATAACTGAGCAGCTACGCACTGAAGGCTTTAGCTTTGACATAGAGGGGGCACTGACTGAGCGATTGAGCCCCGTCTGACAATGTCAGTAATTAGTTTTGTTATTGTAGAGATAATGAGAGACGCTGGAAGGTTTCCCTAACCTCGATGTTCGTATATCTACTGACTAATGCCTTATCAACCTGGGACATTCAGACAATGTCGTTCTCCTCTTCAAATAGGAGAAGGTCCAGGTGTTTGTGGATAAACTGAACTAGATCATCCCGTCCTTTGTCTTGCAGTTTGCACCCACGGTGTGGAGACATGCTCCTGAGCAGCACTGCATTTACAATTCAAGGAGAGGTACTCAAGTTTGTGGAGCGCTTCACGTCTCTTGGAAATTTTACTAGTTCCTAGTGTAGTGTGACGTGTGGTTACTGTGCGAATCTATAAGGCTCGGGTCGCGTTCGCTAATTTGAGACACCTGTGACGTCAAAGCGGTCTTTCCCGCAATCTCAGTGGACGTGGGTATCAGGCTATAGTATGGGCTGTTTGTTGTTGGCCTATTCGGGCAGTGGAACTGGGACGTCTTCAGGTGTTCGACAACCGTTGTCCCAGAGCTATAGCTCGTGTGGATTGTTGTCGGTTGATCCGTAACGAGACAGTTAGAAAGAGTTCATTTGTGCAACAAGAGCTTTCGTTGAAGTGTGTTGACCACCAGAAGCTGCGTTGGTTAGGCCATGTATTGAGCATGTTGAAATAAGTTTGTTGTTTAGTTTTTTCATACTTTGTTGCTAGGTTATACTGGCCACCTCTTGTTGTCACTTGCTGTACGGCCTTACAACTCTGTATCAGTCCTTTGCCCCCTGCTCCACACACTGGTATATTAAGAGGCACGGTAGCTCTAGGTGGTAGCCCTAGCTCTGAAGACAAAGGAAAATTATTGCAACTGTATGTTCCATATGGTCGTGCAAAATTGTCCCTGGGGCGAGAAGCGTCGAGCTAAAAATGCTCAATCCAGATTGGCTAGCATTCCGACCAACCACGGCATGTCTTCTTTTAGCCCGTAGCCTTTACGTGAGGAATCCGTCTGAATGATGTGATATTCGGTTATTAGAGGTGGTTGGCCCCCGGACACCTCTCGGTTGCTTCCACTCAACGTGACTGGGCGAAAAGAGCTCTGCGAGTCAGGTGGTCTTCTCCCACGTGAAATACATCTAACGTAATTTGTGGATTGCGAGTAGCTCATCCATCGTGAGCGAGTTCACCTCACGTTCATCATCCATAAGACGGCATGGATCACACCGGTGCCATAGGCACCCGAGACTGGCGAAACTGCCCTGGCCTCGCTCATCACCAGCCAGTTCACCAGAACTGCCCAGGTGAACAAGCTCATCCACCACATCGATTGGCTGGTCTGCAAGCATCAGGGCGACCAGCCTTGTGTTACCCCACTGGATTTGGAGAACCCAGGCGGAAGCTTGCTCTGTACCCGTCTATACTTGTACGCTCACAGGAGTTCTCACATGGGATACAAATTTGGGATGGATCGCAAAACACCGTTCCTGACGATTGACAGAGTCAATAGTAGCTTTCAGATCGTGAAAGTAACCAACGTTAGATGTTTGAAAGTGAGGCACTATTCAAGAACTTATATCAAGGTAAACGTATATCAATGCGTCCTCGTCCAGGGGGAAACAGCTTTGCGAATGAATGACACCCGTTTCCTGAAGATTTAACTGAATCGGCTGAAACAGGGCACAATTGTCTGCAGCGAAGATCTTCGCAGGGTACCAGCGTTCTGTAATTCACCAGGCTCTTGATCTCCTGTCGTGCATCATCGTGGTTGCTAGTTGTTGGCATGGCTTTTCTGGAATCAACGTCTGCTGGTTTCGACGGTGTCCAGTGTTTATTTGGTCGAGTCCCGTTGCTTGGACAGACACTTTGACAGCTTCCACTTGCCTGCACTCATTCTCCGACCGTCCTTCGTCACGAACACGTTTCCAATAGCTTTCCGACCAGACCAGCTCGTTACTGTTGCGCTACTGAAACTCGGCGAAGCTCATGAACCGAGTCGCTCTGCTGCGGCACGTGATGGAAAGACAAGTGATAACCGGTTTCGCGCAATGGCATAATGGGAATCAAGTTTTGTATCCCAAGGGAAGCGGCGATCTTCAATGGTAACCAATAGTCCCGTGGTCCGACTGCGTCCGTGACTAGCTTGTGATTGTGGCCTCCATGTAACTCAACTTGAACACTTGCGCTGAAAGTTCGTGCTAGCTAGGATCAGACAATGCTCAGCGCACAACTGAAGAGGTCGCTCCTCATTATCCATCCACTGATCACCGACTTCAAATCTACCGTGCAGCTGCTTTTTCCGTTCTTAGTTGTCCAACTCGGGCTTTCATATCGTCCACCGGGATGATTATATCCGTTCTTACTGAAACAGTTGCGACAAATCTGGGTTAAACCCGTCCTCCTGATCCAGAATTCCAGTTCGTAGGGGTATCTGTTGATATGACCAATGGACACCGTCCACTGCATCGACCTGTTTTGATTTTTTATTGAGCCGGACAACGTACAGCACAAACACTACCGTTTTGTGAGATCCGATCTAGCGAAAGGCTTTCAGCCTCGGAACTGAGTGCAACTCACAACCACGTCAGGATCACCAAATACTCGAAGAGTAAAATGTGGAACCATTGTACTCGTCCTAAGCTGCTTTAGGTGTGCAATTGAAGTGGGGTTTTGTGTGCGCTTTTCGGACACTAGTAAAATGTGAACGGTACTACAACTCCATCCTTGGATTCCTGTTTCACCCGCCAGGGTATATCGCAAGTTACAGTACCTTAAGATAACCGTTATGGTGACAATAAACCTACGGCCTCCAGTCGTCCCAAAATGTTGACATCACAACCCTGCTGCTTAACACAATTGAACAGGATGCCGAAATGACATTGCGAAGCCCCGCCACCGAACGCCAACCTGAAGCACGACACGGCTACGATCGGCCAGTCACCTGTGGCTTCAAACAACTGTGTACAGGCAATCAACTCCAGCGCTTTAGGAAATCCGACAGTTATCCCGATCGGAAGCAGAGCAAGCCTCTCACAAGTTGCTGGCATCGTGGTGAGTTGTGTTTTTCTCGTTATCGCCGGTTTAGGCGTCAATAATATTCCAGGTGCAGTCACCGTGGCTACGTCGATCCCAGAGGCCGCAGCCACCAACACACCACCATGCAGCCCACAAATCACGGTCCAACTCGGTGCCGGCGACATTCATAGTTGATTTTGCTTGCCGAAGGAAGTTCGTGACGGTTCGTATCAACAACATCCCAGTTTGCAGCTTGATATGGCTTCCGACATCAGGCTGCTCAATGGACAAACGTGGAAACGAATCGTTGAGGCGCATGTCAACCCGACAGAACATTGGGTCCGTAGTGCTTCTGGTGGTATCCTGAAGTTGACTGGCGAGGTTGACTGCTCCATAAGGTTCAATGGAACAGTGAAAGCCGCCGGCTTGTTTTTTTGGTTTCCGGTGTGTCCCAGAGGATGATTGTTTCAAAAGGCATAAATATATATCGACGTTGTATTCGTCTGACTAGGAGCACACTGACATGAACCACCGAGAATGGTGCTGATGAATGATTACGTTTGCTTCACAGCTTGTAAAACTCCGGTTACCTGCATTCATGTTTGGGCTACTTGGGGGGACGTTTGCTTTGAGAACTCATCGATGTGGCTCAGAACGGCTTGCTGCCAGTTATCCTAACCACTACTTGTTCTATCCACCCTATGAGATTGCCGGACGGGCCTGCATCGTTATTGCTTTTTCAATGTTTGCCGTCTGCAGTCCTCATCGAAGAGCTGGATTCTTCAGTGGGTCCCATGTCACTCAGTGAGTGAGTTGATCCGATGGTCAAGGACTGCGAACCATATGATTCATCCTCATGTCTCGAATACCAGGTTCATCGATATGAAAATCCCCGGAAAGCATTCCAAATTCTCACTGTCCAATTCATGTATGTGCATCTCACTGATAAACTTCCACTTCCATCACCAATGAGGTTTGTCCCTAACTGGGCTTTGTTTTCTGCCAGTTCTCTTCATTCTTATTCTGGGCACCGTATTATACAGGATAGTGCCATTTGGGCAGTTGACGATAGTGTCCACAATGTTACACGTATGTTGGTTGTTCGTCATACAACTATTGATTTGTTCGTAGAGCTTGGGAGTTAGCTTCATCGTTGTCTTCGTCGTCATCGTCGTCAGCATGACATCAGTGTTCAACACCGATGCCTCACTGCTTAGAAACCTTCTGTTACCAAACGTGCAGACAGCCACCCACTGGTGTCTCTTTGTCTTCAAAGCGTTCGTAAGCTAATTGCCAAGCCTGATGGACGTACTGACAGCCATCTGATCAACAACTAACTCGGACCACCTGAATGTTGGCGTATTGTTACAGATATGGTATTGATGGAAGCCATATCCTTAATGGGTTGTACAGCTTTTTCACGCGACTGCCTTGAAGGAAATTCGGTTACCTTTCAAAGGAACCCTTTCCTAAGGGGATCAAGAAACCTCTCTCTTTTGATGTCCTATTTTTCGAAACATTACTGTATTGTTGATAAACATGCCTAGTCCCTTTCCCATCCTCATGTGCAGGTCCAGTATCGCATGCATCCGGCACTCTCAGCTTTCCCGAGCAACGTATTCTATGAAGGCAGTTTACAGAATGGGGTTACCGCAGAAGATCGGTGCAAGCAAATCGATTTTCCTTGGCCTAATCCGGATCGCCCCATGTTTTTCTATTGCACTTCTGGTCAGGAGGAAATATCTGGCAATGGTGTTTCCTACTTGAATCGCACGGAGGCTGCTACTGTGGAGAAAATTGTAACAAAGTACGTGTTTTTTCCATTTTCGGTACCCCTCCATCTTGGTACATCTGATTCTCTGGGGTGGCTGAGTAGAACTAACAACTTTGTCACCCAGGTCGTTTGTGCTCACCTATCGGATTATAGGCAAGTCAGGCCGTTCCGCTTAAGCATCCTTTTATCGTTTGCCTGATTTGCGCTCCGAGGCTAAATAAAGAGAAACATGCGGTTAACGTGAGCAGCTCTAGATTGGAAGTGCTTCGTCATAGGTAATAGAAATCTTTTGTGCTGAATAGCGGAGTGATATCGCTTTTCACTATCGTGATAGCTTACGTTACCTATAAACCACACCTACCTGCAATTGACTTGCGTTGAGTGTATTCTTATGATGTAACATTCTCCAGAGTATTATAAAAGTCAGTACTTTCCGCCGAATCTCCATGTTTTTTTTTAGGTCCATATGAGGAAATAATGTGTTACTTGCTCTTCTCGACAGTACCACTTTCTTTGCCGCAATGGTGTTCACTCTTCCGAATTCTTCATCCTAATGCATCCCTTTCAGAATGCTAAAAATTGGAGTCCATCCGAACACGATTGGCGTCATCACACCGTACGAGGGCCAGCGAGCCTACTTGGCCCACTACCTTCACTATTCCGGTTCGCTGAACTCTAAATTATATCAAGAAATTGAAATAGCAAGTGTGGACGCGTTTCAGGGTCGCGAGAAGGATTACATAATATTATCTTGTGTGCGCGCAAACGAGAACCAGGGCATCGGATTCCTGAATGATCCTCGGCGCCTGAACGTTGCGCTAACACGGGCTCGCTATGGCCTGATTGTGGTCGGCAACCCGAAGGCGCTCTGTAAGGTGAGTGTATGGGCTTGTTTTCGACAGCGGCTAGGTTTCTGTTGCTAGTTTTATTTCAAACATTATCATGGCTGCTGTGTCGACCAATTTCTGTTGAATTGGGTTGCTAGTTTTATTCCAAACATTATCATGGCTGCTGTGTCGACCACTTGACCTTACCGTGCATGTTGGAACGCTGTTCCAGCTTTATCATCTAACCACAATCCTCTTTTTGAACCCTATGCTTTACGAGCAGATCCGTGCTTTATTTTTTCTCGGAAGATGTCCGCATATTTCTGTAGGTGCATTGAACGGCCGTGAAAGGTTACTGATGTCAGTGAAAGGCAACTTGTTGCTCTTATTTAGTGTTGAACATTTGTAATGGCACTAGTCTTTGAGCAACGTTGACTTCATTTTCGTCTTACCACTGGTTAGTGTACCTTGACAGGGGGACTGGTTGGCTGGAGAACATCTGATATCGCTTTCGTTCAGTTACCCTCAGTGTTTCTTTTCTTTGAGGGTCGCACTTAGCTGATAGTGCTCATTTTCAATTAGTGGTTTCTTTTTAACCACAGATAAATCAGCTTGACTCCGATAGTAATCAGGCTGTTGGCGTCACTTGTGCTAGGTCGCCTTACGGTGGCTCGTGAAACACTGACTGCAGAGCAGCAAGTAGGATTCCGGCCTTGTAGCGGTTGTGTTGGCCCAATCCCCACAGTCCGTCAGACGCTAAAGCAACGTCTTACGTACAAACGACCCACATTTTAGTATTTCCGACCCGGCATTCGACTCGATTGACTGATCTGCCACCTGGCATTCGACTCGATTGACTGATCTGCCACACTTGCCCACCCACCGTCAGGTATTAGGACATCGTCATACGCAGAAAAACTCACATTTTTGATATTCCTGGATTTCCGAGGCGCATTCGACTCGGTTGGCCGGTCTGCTTTCCTTAACACAATTGCCCGTCAGGCAATGCCCCGAAAGTTTGTGAACAATAAATTTATTGTATTCTCAGACTTCCGGGATTGTGAGAGTATACAGAGTTCTCCAAAAGCTTCCGTACACAATGCGGTGTCCGTCAGAGTTACCCACTCCATCCATTCCGTGATCGTTGAAATAATGAGACGAGCGCTGAAAGATTTTCGAAAACTCAGTGTTCGAATAGCCTCGGACGAAAACCTTGTCGAACTGGAATTTGCAGACGACATCGTTTTCGTCTTCGAAAAGGGGAAGGAGGCACAGGTGTTTGTGGATGAACCGACTCAAGCCATCCCGTCCATTGGTATGCAGTTTGCACCCACAAAGTGTAAGGTCATGCTCATGGACACGCGGTCACTGAACACGCCATCTGCAATCCGGGGAAAGGCTCTCAAAGTTGCAGAGCGTTTTATGTACCATGGAATTTGCATAAGTTCTGATTAGTGTGACAGATGAGGTCAATGCACGGATCTGCAAGGCTCAGGTCGTGTCTGCTACTTTGAGACACCGATGACATCAAGGGACTTGTGTATCAGGCTTCAATACTGGCTGTTTAAGCCAGTTTGAGCAGCGTGACTGAAACGTCTTCAGGTGTTCGATAGTCGTTGTCTTAGTACCATAGCTCGTGTGAGTTGCTGCCGGTGAATCCGTAACGAGACAATAAGAAAGCGATTTTTTGCGTCGATCACCAGAAGGTGCGTTGGCTAGGCTGTGTGTTGCCCATGTGTGAACCGTCGTTTACGAAAGATAGTGCTTTTTCCGTTCCAAATTCAGAGCGGCGGAAGCCGAGAATTCGTCAACCGTTGACCTGGCAGATGGGTGTGTAAGTGATTACGAAAACTCTGGGTGGGGACCGCGAGATACTGCGCCCATTTAGAGACGCTTCTAGCCAGTGTCTGAATGATTGTGATGGGCTAACACAAAGTCCCTTCCGCATCCACTTCTCCACAACAGGGTTTCCAAATAAATTGTGCTTAGATAGCAGTGATGGATCAGTGTTTGGACAATATTGTGCTGTGAATTATGATGTGTTAATAACCACTGATGGGTTTAGAACCGGCCTTCCTGCCCCGGGAGGCGGCAGCTGTCAGCCGAGCTCGTTCATACTTCGTTGCTAGGTCATACCGCCCGCCTCTCGATCGCATCCACTCAGTACACGGCGTTTTTATTGTCAGTTTCAATCCAGATTGCCTGAGTGAATGTCTTGAGGCGTAGGCACTTCGAACTGTTTATGGCAGGCTAGCACTGAGCCCCTTTTTCATTCCGTCCATTTTTATTCTTTCAAATAAATCATGATTGTAAGGCAGCGAAGTGTCAGTCAGTGTTAAACGCTGATATCATGCTCTCGATTGTGATGTTGATTGTTCAAACTCATGTTTTGTCCAAGACATGTAATTTGGAGTTTTAAACTTCATGCCTGTTTCGTCTTGTTTGGATCGATCGAACAGATGTGAAAAGGATAGTCAATGTCCACCGAAGTAGGGTAAGCGGGAATCGGACGAAGTACTTGTGGGATAGGACTAATTTGACGTTTTTTTTTATCTTAGTGGTCTGCTTGCACTCGTTCTTTATTCCCAGTTCTTTATTTCCCATTTCTCGAAATCGTGAGCAATAATAGAACAGATAAACATTGAGAGTTAATTAACGAAATATCTTTTCCCATGCACCATAGCAACCACTTTGGAACCAACTGCTTCACTTCTACCGAGAGCAGCATCTTTTAGTCGAAGGCCCATTGAACAACCTAGCTGAATACATGCTTCAGTTTCCGAAACCAAAGGTGCCGTATACATTCAAACCAGGCGGGCATTTTCTTTCCCAACTGGCGGCAAACACGGCCCTGCTCAACGCAAATCAGATGAGCCAACAACGTCTTGGCCCAGGCGGTTTCTTTCCACAGGCAGGTGGGAATGCGACGCAACCTTCTTATCCGAATCCAAATGATCCAAATGCCCTTTTGGCTGCAATGGCTGCGGCTGCGGCCGCTTATTTTGGTGGTGGAACAAGTGGCAATACTTCAGGGCTTGGCGGTCCAGGTCCTTCGGGCGGTGTCAGCCAACCGGGCGCGAGCCATGCTGCAGCATATGCGCTGGCAGCCGCGGCTGCCGCACAGCATCATCCGAATTATCATCCTTCTCAAGGAAACCCCGGGTCTCACAGCCTGCATCAGCTGTTCGATCAAATTGGATATATTGGGCCCAACAGACAATTCGCCGCTGCAAACGCAAATTCCAGTACGTCTTGTTTCGGTTTGATAGTTCTAGTTATCGATTCTATGCTTATAGTGTTCCCTGATCCGTAGTTTTCTCCCGAATTGACTGTAGTTCCGAAACTTTCTCTCACCAGGTCTTCCAATGCCAATGAGTATGCTCATGCAGACTGGTCAGTTGCATCGTGCTTCAGATCTCGGTATGGGCAACCTTTACGGGTCATCAGCTAACACACAAACGGACACCTCTAAATTTGCGGCTGCAATGGGAATGAATGCGTTTGCCAGGCCCAACGGACCCGGGCTGAATTTCGGTCCATCGCTTAGTCAGCTGGGCGGGAGCACCCGTGCTCCTGGCGGCCCTCTCCCAACTAACCAGGCCACAGCCGGTGGCATTTCCGCTCCTCGTTACATGGGCAGTGGGACTCGCCGTGCGGGACAAGTTGGTAATCACAGCGCTCTGGCCGGGTCAACAAAGTCCCGACAGCCACAACAAGGTTTAGACGGTTTAGCCGGCCCCGGCTCCAGTACGATGACCAATATGAGCACCGGTCTGCTTTCGCAACCTGGCCTGTCCGAACTGACTGGAACACAGGGAGCTGGCGGATTTGGGTCCATGGTTGGCGTGTACAACAGCCAGTCTCGTAATCTCGGTTTATCTGGACTTTCACAGGTTCGTTTTGTTTCCGTCCAGAGTTACACTTACATTTGCCTTTCCCTTTCTCCTCTCATGTCCTTGTGGTTTCTGTTTTCAGGAAAGTACATCTCTGGATTTTCGACTCGGGCATGGTGCGAGCCAGGTAGAAAACTTCCTGCTTTCCCAAGATTCCACTTTCCAAGGGGCCACCGTTTCAAGTGGTGCACAGAAGTTCTCCGCCCGACGCAACGCGGAATTGTTGAACAATGGAAAAGGTTCAGTGTCCAACTATGATTCTGGTACCCGTCTGATAAACGGTACTGATCTAGGTGACCTCAGTCTTTCCCAAATGGTTGGCGGTGACCCTGTTGCCGATGTCGGCGGTGGTGGAGGAGGTGCGCCGTTGTCGCAATTTTAGAGACCAACGTATACTCGAAAATGTCCACGATGAACAACGGGTGACTGCACATGACTGGTCGGCTACTAGGTTCTGCTTCACATTGGAGGGAGGAGGTGATCTGTCTGTCCATCCGCGACAGACAAATACGGTGGGGTGAACTGGTTAGATGTTCGAAATGAACGCATGGATCAAAGAGACTATTCCTTATAAACGCGCCTGATCGTTGCTTCCCATACCTCGGTTCAATTCAACACTCCCTGTTCATTCAGCACCTCACAATCTGGTGTCCCGTTCCCCATGTTTTCATCCAATTCTGTTTTGTATTTCGGTTGATGCGTGCTCCTATTTTGTAAACTGGTAGGTCGTCTACTGTGTGTGGCGTGACCCGGACGGATTCTTCGTTTTTTCTCCTTAGTCGTCGGCCGTGTCTTCGGGTGCTACACGTGTTGCTCACTCAGCAAATATTGGGCGCAACCTCTTGCCCACAATGGAACCTGAGGGGTAGTTTGGTATTTTTTCGCGCGTTTATCCAGCTTTTAAGCAATACTGGGTGCTTGTTTTTATCAGTGTTCATTGATTTCCTCAAACTGATATGTTTCCGTTCAATGCTTTTCATGTTCCTGCTTTCGTGATTGTCAATTGTAAACAGATTCCGGTTGACGATTTTTCGGTTATCAAATGGTTGGTATAACAATCGGGCCTATTTTGCACACGTTTAACGGAACCCTGTTTTCATCGGTGTACTGGCCATAATACGTCCACCGCCGCGCTTCTACATTATGTTTAGGAATACTTTGTTTAGATGTGCACTCTTCCGAGTTACTTGTATAGTGTCCGTTAGCACTGTATCGTGTGTCCCAGGGTAGGTCCTTTTGCGACTTCAACTCGCAGGCTAGCAGATTCCAGTCAAGATGGCACAGTCCGTGTGCGCTTCGAAAGTGGTCGTTGATTCCTGTTCCGGATTTATTACTGTGTCTGAGACAAGAAATAATCACCAGAGGTTTCCTACACTCGTCTGTTTTTGATCAGTGGTCCTTTTAGGGAACTACTGGACACAATCTCATGGGTGACATGTATTTTGAATTCGTACAGCTACTGACTGAAATATCATTTTTACCTGTGCGTCCATCTCCTGCTGTATTCCCTTCCCGTCACTGATAGCATATGCCTTTCTGGTAGCTATAGTATAGAGGCTTTGCTTTTACCGTTACGTCCCTTTCAGTTCAACAGTTATGATTGCAAAAATGGTCATCACTCATGGAATTGGAGTATAGGCTTAAGAAACTTGACGGGGACAAAAACTCCATGTATCGCCTGATTGAACATGGTGATGAAACGATAAAAAAACGCTAAGAACGCTGGTGTGTAGACGAAAATCGTAATTTGGAGTTCATAGGCCTTTGGAGACTGAACAACATAACTGTAAGGTAGTTCGTTAGCTTCACGGGAGATGGGGGAGGTTTTCATAATCTGGTTGAACCAAAAGAAGGCAGTGGGGGTACTCAGAGCTTGCAGTTTCTTCGAGTTAACTGCTGTGCTGCTTAGAAGGGCTTATAGTTCATATCTCCGACTATCCGACCAGCGTTTCCGTCCCGGGGTTCTTTGCGCGCCACAGCCACATACTCTGAAACGCAGCTGGCCCCTGGCTGGTTTGACGTTTGCTGTTTACTTCGCTCAACTTCCTCGGCACAGTCCTTTTCCAATGTGTTTGCGCCTGGAATGCGTAATTCCGGACACGGAGATGGTAGCAAGCACCAGGGTATTTAGAACAATCCCTCTAGTACAGCTTCGCGTACCAAATCTAATCTGCTGGAAACTACGTCAGCTTGAATTTCGGTTTTCAGAACGGGGATCCATGGCAGTTGAGTCCCAGTTCCCATTACCGGTCAATAGTCGCTGAGGGCTGGAGTCGTTATAGGGAGTATTGTATTCGAACCAGAACTCCAAGTTTCACTCACAAAATGTGAATGGATGCCCTGTTTAAATCGATGAATTGGGCTTCGTCCAACCACACGCTAGCACAACTGAACTTTCGAATCACATGTATTAATAAGTCCGGAGCATGTATTCAACTCGCACCATCGAATTTTCTGGGTGCACATATCACTGCATGTATAGCTCGCGCATAAAACTGACCGTGGTTCTATTTGGGCCCGTATTTCGGGGTAGAACGTAATGGCATTTTTATATCGTCTTACTTTTTCAAAAGAGGTGCTGAATCCGTGGAGGGAAACTGCTAGAATAAGGGAGAAATGTAGAGAAACGTCCTGGTAGTCATGAAATTTCGTGGAATAAATAAAAACCTATGATTTGAGACGGGTAATCCAATCTAAAACGGAGTGTGATTACAGTACACTAACGTTCAACCCACCTGGGGTTAGTTTTAAGTGTTAATATCACCAGAAAGAACGAAGTATGCGAGTGTTTGAAAAGTAACGGTGTGTACACCTGAGATCTAAACGAGGGCCAACCGTACGCAATCGGACGGCTGTGACGTGGGGCCGCCATTTACCGTTCTGCTCATGTTTACAAAAAGACACTGGTGTTGAACATTGAGGCTTCGCCACCCAATCCAATTCACGGTTGTACGTGGGCTGGGGTATTTTCGGCGTCCACACCTAGACAGGAGAACGATTACGGTCCACAACCGAAGCTTTTGGCTCAAGAGCCTGACAGCAAGACAGCGGTGTTTGGCGGGAAATGCAAGTGCATTTCAATTTTTATAGAAGAGGTTCGCCATACAATTCCAACCCACAGTGTAGAGTACCAGGAGACTTCGTCAGACCTCTAGCATTTGACCAGCCTGGTATGAGAGGCTGCGGAATTCGTGTGGGCGCCCCCCCCCCAGTATAGCTCGATAGGCCGCGGAGGCAGACAAACCGTCACCACGACAAGGTT